ATTAAACCAAAAATCGCTCTTACATTTACTTTGATTCTATCAAGGAACTTTGTCGATCGCTCTCAGATCCCAAGGTTTTCTCGGCTAATTGGCGACTGAAGCCATTTCAGATCGATACACCGACATGTGCTCGAGGCCATAACTCGGATATTCCGATATCAACTTATCTCTAGCTTGTCAACTTACCAGCCAAATCGGATCAGCAGATATTATTTAGGAATTAGCTTGAAACGAGCTTGGCTGTTCGGGAGGTTCATTTAAAATTGATTGAAATATAGCGTCAAACTGTTCCACATTTTGCTGAGCTTATGCTAATGAGGTTGAGTTTCATTCTGATCTCAGACAACTTGCATTGTGCTGAATAAGGTTCTCTAGCTATAAGCTACCATGATAAAGTTTTAGGGGTGTGACCTTTAGACTACTCCCGGTACAAATACAAATGGAAAGTAGATATTGAATCAAAGGCATTCTGTTATGTCGTCGACTCTTTTTTCACAAACAAGCCAGGAAACGTTTACCTCTATGCAAATTTTAATGGGCGTGGTCATAATAAGCTCGGTTTGGGTAGCGCTCGATTGGAGGGTTCTGAAGAGGTTCCGTCTGTGACAATTCTTTCCTCAATCGAACAGTACTACGGAAGCAGAATATGTCACATTCAACATTTCCCCAAATATTTCCTTCTCCGGCACACCTGGAACGCGTTGTGAACTCTGTTTCAACTTGTTTCATTGAACGTCCAGTTGATTCCATGAATCTTGATCGCGCAGAACTCAACAATCGACCAACCTTTTGGACAGTGTTTTTGTTAGTAGGTGAACCATATGGAGAAACGTTGTAACACGTATTGAGTTTATAGTTTGTAAATTTTATAGACTGTGTGTTCAGAAAACAGAAAATCATTCTCCTACATTTGAGTTCAATGGCTACCCAATGCTATCGTATCACAACCCACTAGTGGCACACAATAGTTCGTATGAACGACTTAGCGAGTAATTTGCACACCATTGTGTTTTATTTAAAAACACAAAATTGTTGTCATTTCATTAGCTGCTACTAATGTGTCGCCAATATGTTGTTTGGTTCGGATCGTTAGTATGGTTGGGTTATTTTTGTCTTATCTTGGAGCTCAATGGCTACCCAATGCTATCGTATCACTAGTTCTTATGAACGACTTTGTGGTATATGGAGACCAATACAGTCTGAAACTAGATTTTAATAGCAACATGGATAATTTGTTGGTCTAATGATAGCTTTAGATTTATCAAAAACACCTGCTACTTCCCTATATTTACATTTCTATCTTACTATTTGGAATTGGATGCTCGGGAATTTCCGATGACATCTTAGATCATGAAAAATACATTTCTTGATCTTTCAAAACGATTCTGGAAACCAAATTTCCACAAAATTACGCCATTTTCAATTATTCATTGTAGAAAATATATCGTATTTCCTTAAAAGGATTTTAGTTTTTAAACAAGAAAATGTTTTTGTTGATATCACTAATCGCTAAGGACCTTGTGTGATACAATTACAAGTATAATTTGCAATTAGAGACGTCATCTAACACTCAAATTTAGTCGAATTGCAGGAACCACAGACGTCCGATTGAAAATTAGAATGGTGCAAATTGATGCTATCAGTGTCCCCGATACACATAAAAATAGAAAAAAATACAATCCCAGCGATATACAGGAGTCTGAAAGTTGTACACAATGTTTTTTTTAAGTTTTGTTTTAATAGTTCACGACGTGTTTAGATTAATGGCGCATATTTAATTATATGAAGCAACATTTTGAATTTCGACAATGTTGTGGATAGTCTTTTTATTCGACATTTATCTTGAATTTTCTGACAATAGACATAAAGTTCGATCGCTTGACAAAACTAATCTAATTCTGAATGATTTATCTTATAAAAATGCATGTCAATTGTAACACTGATACCTGAACAAAAACAACGTATTAGATAGAGATTTTAAATCAAGCTTATCTTTCTTTTGAATGATGTATACATGCATATGGCTTATCTCACGCGCTATAAGTTGTTTTTGTAAAGAAAATAACATGAAATAGTTTCCGCATTTCTCTTCGACATTACAATAATCACGGACAACGTCATAGAGTGTACAATGAGGGAAGTACACTTGGTCTCGGTTTGTCAAAGTGGATTGCTCGCTCGTTTTCCCTTCCCTTAGATTTAAATCCTAGTATGTATGTTCTAGGGTTTTGGTTTCCTATCCCAGATAATAACTAAAAAAGAGGTATATACTTTTCGAAGGCTGTATTGCTATCTTTGTCGACTGTGCAATAATTCTAAGTTTTCTTCCGAACTCATGAACCCTCAAGTAACCCGTCTCTTCGTTTTTCTTTATCCCGGTCGAGAAGTGCTATTAGGGGCTGAGAACCGACTGTGGGCCGACTCTCGAAAGCACTAACACAGACAGGATTTTTCTTACCTAAGGGAGGAATTGAACCGACAGTACCTAAGACGAAAATCAAACTCACTTCCGACTGAACTATTTCAGTGCCAAAAATCGACCGTGCTTCAAGCACAGGTTAGACTGGCCAGGAGTCCAAAAGGTTAGTCAACAAGGTTCAAGACAAGACTGACAAAGAGCATGTCTCACCTATGCCAACGAGTTCAGCAATATAGTTATCCATGAGTAACAGAAAAACAACTTTCTTAACCTTTCTGATTATCTGTACAGATGAATAAGACGGTTTTCAGCTAAATTAGTAATACCAGAATGTCAGGCTGCCCTAATCTATTTAATGCCCAATTCCATTACTAAAATTGCTTGCGATATTTGCTTATTCTGGAAAGACGTTCGGAAATCATTACCTTTTTGTGAATTGATTTACATGGGTTTAATGGAATCGGAACATTTTGATAGCAGAGAAAACAAATAATTGAAAATTGGAGTTTAAATGACACTTTGTTCATTTTACTAAAACGTTTCGATCAGCGTTCTAAGTGGCAAACTGTGTTGGTCTAATGATCTCTTGAGGTATTAGATTCGCTCAGCAGTGGCTGAACTAGATGAGTTTCCCCTGGGATGTTTTTTTAACATATGCTCTCCTGCAGTTTTTCTGGTGGTGGATACCTGTGGACTTGGTTCAACTAGTCCTTGTGGTAGTTGGACCACTGCCCCTCGGTAGGAGATGAAAGCGTGAGAGGCTGACATGGAAAGCGTCGTTTAGTGATAATCAAACGCATTTCACCCATAACAGTATTCTTATTTACTTTACGTTTAATATTTTTCAAAAAAAATAAAACCCCAAAAAACATTTTTGATTCATAACGGCCATTTTTACTCGCATATCTAACAAGGCAAAAACGGCGTTTAGAAGTATATGCAATCTAGATCAACTTGTCCATTAGTAGAACCAAGTTACAAAACAAGTCTACATTTTTTTTTTTGTCCCAAGTCAAATCGATCCACTGAAATCACTCCAATTGACAAGAGACATTTGAAAATAAAGAGATTTTCTTTTTAAACTCGTTATCAATAAAAAAAGAATACTATATTGTGGACACATCTATTGAATTTCGTTATACTTAAATGGTAAAATCAATGAAGCATTGGCTTAATGTAGTCTAGGAAATGATTGGGAACCTACGCATACCTTTCATACAATGAAGCTCTGACCTTTATCTTGAGAAATATTTCCCAGTTATTGGTAATGAAGCTGTTCACGCACGAACTCTTCACGAAAAGCCTATTTCTTTTATAATTACGTAGCTTTCAGTTTTCAAACTAAGATAAGTTCCCCCGGGAGGAGATCTCGGCCTTGGCATATTTTGACTTCGATTAAACAGAATGAAATTGAATTTAAAAGCTTACGGAAAATCCACAATGCACTGTGTGTAATGGATAGATAGTTTCCAAATTAAATTCCACCATTTTAAGCTTTTTGACGATGTTATGTCGATTCTTAACCCTTGATTGAGACGAACCCAATCTCCTAAAATCAAAATCGCAATATTTAACCTGCCCGACTCGAATCGAATGCAAATGCTTTTTAATTTCGCTCATATTCTTGATAACATTCAAGATTTTCAATCCGTTTCCTTTGTCAGCGATGCAGGCATATTTGATGGAATTATGCGATGTTTGTACATTTCTAGTACTTTACTTCTGAAGACTATTTACATATATTCAAGACTAAAATCGACCCCCGAAGATGCCGAATATGTCACTCAAACTCTGCACACAAAGCAATGGGCCAAAACCGATTTCTTGGCAAAATTTCCACCATTGAACCCTTCATATCGTTAGCTGCCGTTATCGGCTTAATGAAGTTCAGAAAAGTCGAACGTAAAACTAACTGATATAAATATGATCATAAAATTTAATTTCCAATAACGGAATGTTAAATGTGTTTCAGCAATATTCTCGAGAATATTTCCGTTATGGCCGGAACCAATCTTCGACTGAGTATAAACATCATTTTGTAAAAACCCGATCTACACGAATGGTCTCATATTATTGCAATCGGCGCCGCTAGCTTATGTATAAATTCACTTCCGCTAATTATGAGGCATTGATACGAGTTCGTTAATTTCGATAAACGCATTTAAAGATAAATGTCAACTCCTAAAATTCTTTTTAGTATCAATGTTGTATTAAAAGGCTTTTTTCGTATAAGCTTTGCTTTGCTGTCTGAATAACCTCAATTACAACCTTAACTCCTAAAAAGTAGCATCCGGTTCTTCTATAATTCAAAAAATTGTCGTCAATTCCGCGACCCATTAGTGTTAATTAAATTTAAAGGTGAAATTTGTCGGAAATTTCATGGGAGGGGTAGGGGGATATTAGCTGACTGTTCATTGGAAGGTTATGCTAAAAAAGATGACCGTTTATACAAGTTTGACTGTGTACGAGAAATGTTTTCGTCGGCGGTTTGAGCACTGTTTATGTGACGTGCACGTCAGCACTTTATAACTACGTATTCAATAGAATTATTTTTAATTTTGCGTCTCTTTTGTCTTTTCAGAAATCAGCTCAGGAGTCACCACACCGGCATCCATTCCAGGACTTCGGGAATTCACATTCAACTTTCCAAGTGAAAAAATCGTCCAGCCCATAATGAGTGTTGATGGCCTGCCGTCGACGCCACCACCGGCGTACACATCTAGACGTAGAGCGTCAATGCATGATGCAATAGATCTCACCAAAATTGATGCTAGACTCTATGAGAAAAAGGTAAGACTGTCATTTTCGTGTTGAAGTATTTCGAGCTTCCAAGAAGATAGTCAAGAAGAAATCGTGAAAGGGACAGATGGACGATCCCAACTTTTTGTGTACATCGAAAAAACTTGTATCTATTTCATATACTTAAAATGACCCTTACCATGTCTGAAACCTGGGTCAAACACACCAGATTCGACATTAATATGATCAGTTCAGTTAACTAAAAGTGTGTCAGGAAGACAAAAGGTTTTGAAATCTGCCGTTGGGCAAAATTGCTCCCGTGTAATTTTTCAACCAAAATGCTCAAAGGTATTGAATAAATGCCTCCGATGTCGATAGCGAATCAAAGTTTGTACACCCTTCAGAAACTCTTGATGCCAGTGTGCGACTTCGTTTGTCAACTTGGCATCGCTTTTAGAGTCATTGGATTTGAATATGAGTATTTGGATATTCATTAAGTTAATCCTTACCATTGTTTGTGAAATAAGCATCAAGACAATTACCGACATATTCGAGAGAGACAATACGACAATGTAAAACTATGCGAGAGTAATTAGATCTACCGTAGCTAACGAATTAATGGGCTTGTAAAGGAGTTTTCTAAATTTTGTATGTGTATCGGGGCCACTAATTGTATCTGTTTGCATCATTCCAATTTTCAGTCAGATGTCTGTGGTTCTTTTAATTCCACAAAAAAAATGTTTGATGCCGTCAATATTCGCAAAATATGCATTATCGCATAGAGCCCTTTGCGATTAGTGACGTCATCGAACATGCCATATGTGTCCCCGATATACATAATTTTTTTTAGAAAATCTCTTTAGAATCCTTCTAAGCCTTAATATTTTTTTTAAATAAGTCTGAGATAATTAACGACATATTCGCGAGGGACAATACGAGGGATATCGACGAAAAAAAAAATAAATTCAAAGTTAGAGCAAGACTGTCTGTGGAAAGAAATTATACAACCGGATTCATTGATATTGATGTCTGTATGAAGAATAACTGTGTCAATTGAACACGTAGCCATCTCGAAATTGATGTTCATTAATTTATCTTCGTGTTCTTGCATAATGCGATAAACGTCTTGTCGTGACGTCAGTCCATTTCCCAGTAATCACGATTTGACAAAAATAGAATAAAATCGACATTAAATTCAATAACGGAGATTGACATCAGCACATACAAGTTGGTGGTCGTAGAAATGTTGAAGGTGTACCGACAAATCCTGTTGACATACTAATCGTGATTAAAGAGAGATTAAATTAAAGAAACAGATGTACTGATATATTCGTCGTGATATATATATATATATATATATATGGTTATGTCTATGTACCTATTTATATACGCTCCAATATAACAATACAATACAATACAATGTAGGCCCTATATAGTCTTCAAAAATACTAGAAATTCACAAAAATAGCATAATTCCTTCAAAAATACCTCATACTAAGAATTTCACTTTATTTTTCTATGTCTCTTTTCTATATGGCAGAGTCTCGAGAAAAGACGAGTCGTCATTTTAACATTCAAACGCATATAATTCTAACTACACATGTATTTGAAAGCTCAAATGTCGCCGATGAGCTGTGATCACTATTACTGATTAGCTTAGCGTAGAAATTCCCGTTTCTGAGACTAAAGTACGATTGGAGAAAAAATGGCGAATCTGTTCCTTTAAAAAGAAAAGAATTAAAACAAGTTCACGAGTTCCAACCGTTAATCAAAAATCGAAGTCTCTGACAGGATTGAAGAAAATACAAAAGAACCATTTACATTAGTATTACTTGAGGACAACTTTTTATTGTGTAACTTTGACGAAAGCGTAGGTGTTTGGACAAGTTCTATAGAGGTTATGTTCTACTCTTACACGCCTTATCGTGTTCAATGCAAATAGAACAATATTGAAAATAGCAGTTAAAATAGCATACATAATTTAATGGCACAAAAGGTTGATTGATTTAAAAACACAATAAACAGGGCAGGTCAGCGAAAATGCTTAATGCTTAAGTTGGTCTCTTTGGAAATTGAAAATGGCATTTCTTTCGATTTGTTTCTTTTGCAACTTGCAAAGACTAGTACACGAGGATCCTCTGATCGGATGTAGCAGAAAAATCCGAAGGACATGTTACTTTTTCAGCCTATACCAAGATAATATTACACGCTTGTATGTGATTCCTTTATTGATATCATTGAAGTGAAACATGCGACTGTTTTGTATTACCAGAACAGTGGTATTAGCAAGCGGTGGCTTTTGAAAGGGAGAAGGGGTTTAAAACAAAAACTGAAATGAAGTGACCAAAGCAAGCGAACTCACTGAACATAGACGTAACATCTTCACAATGTCAAGCTATTATGAACTTCGCCTTATATCTCGACTGCAATAACCACTATTCTTGTATCATGGAATGCGATTTGATTGGATTGTATGTCAGCGAATACAGCCAATCCGAGCTTCATTTATAACGTGCACTCAAGGTATAAGTAAGAACTTCGAAATAGTTTGACATTGTCAAGATGTGACGCTATATCTTGCTTCTACTATAATCCTCGACAGGGAAGACTTCAGTAAGATAAGGTCACTACAAGAAGCCATATGTTAAACTGATTTCCTGCCTATCTCTGTTCAATTCCATTTCTGAAAGAAACTTCTTTACGTATTTGGTCTGATCACGCAAGGGAAACTTGTTTTTCGTGCTTATCACAGCTTTCCAGAAATAGTGTTTAACACGTTTTAAAGTTGGTTTTTTTAATATTTCATACAAAGGATATAAAATAAAGACGTAGTTCATAACAAGCAACGGTCATGTTCGATTTAGAAACATACTTCCAAATGAGGTAAAACCCCGATTAGAAACAAGTGGCTCAACTAGATGAGTGTGGGCCTATGGACTTAATAGTAACATAATGCTCTTCTGCATTTTTTGTGGAGGTAGGGTCTCCCGTAGGGATGGGACTTGGTTTAACCAGTCCCTATGGTAGTTGAGTCACTGTTTGAAACATCACAAAAAAATTGATACTGACAATCCTACCTGTGAAACGAAACCCGAAGGCCAAAACAACATATTGGCAATACATCGGTTGCAGCTAATGAACTTTTCACTAAAGGAAGTATATCAATCATAAATGAGGACATATTTCATAATGGAAAGTGCTATCAGGTGAAGAGTAAGCGTAAGTCAATTAATTCTCGACAAAAATAGTATAATTGTATAATTGTGTTATGGTTATGTTCACATTGTTTTACTATGCGACAAACGAACTCTATGAGAATCTGGATTTACAACGGCTACTATCAACAGGCAGCACTTGAGTAAATGTGGATAATTGCAGAAGTCTTGTGTCTGACATCGCAGTTTCTGTCGGTCCTCATCAGTTGCTCATGTTTTACTATGTACCCAAATTGGGACCAGGTTGTCAGTCTGGGCTTTTGGAAGATGTGATCATCTAGTTGGTAGTAGTTTGTCAATTTCTGAAAGTCGACTGTGACGGTTCCAATGAAGATGTGATCATCCATATCGTAGTAGTTTGACAAATTCTCAAAGTCGACTGTGACGGACCCAATGAAGATGTGATCATCCAGTTGATAGTAGTTTGACAATTTCTCAAAATCGACTGTGACGGATCCAATGAAGTGCCATGAATCGGCCTTGACCGCTTCTAGTATTAAATGACATAGAAATTGTTTGGCAGCTAACCTAATAATACTAGTGACCCAAAACCAACTACACGTATTCTACGCGATTTCTGCATTAGCCACTACTCCTAAGAATACGTTGTATGAACAACTGACCTACAAAGTTATATCACATTGGAGACCACTTTAAAAGAAAAACAAAAGCAACAATATCGATACACGCAATAGTGTCACACTAACAAAATGAGTTTGGGTTTGGATGAATGTTGATCCATGGAGTTCATAAAGATTCTAGTTGCACACCACCTGCGTCATGTCAGCACCTTTTTATATATAATTAAGTGAAACGCAAATTTTAATTCAAGAGCACTTTGGAAATGAAACTGAAAAATTAGATGGTAGCTTCAGAATAACATCGGCTTCATTTCCTTCTGCCAGGCAATTTTGACTATAGACATTATAGAAAGGAAATTAACAAAACCCTACTCTATTGAGAATATATTTTTTTTGTGATTTTGAAAATTGTAAGAACAGATTTGGAAAGGTTATTTAATTGTGTCTAATGGAGTTAGTTTCTGTATACCAGAAAGTTTAGACGAATGCAATACCACTTAAATAATAATTGATATGTAGGCTTTCCAACACCATCTGCCAAGGTCTAAGTAATTATTGAAGTGAAGCTCAATGGCTTAAACAGGAATCCAAGACTTCCTGAGAATTCCTCTATATTTCTGACCAGTGGTATTTTTTTTTGGGGGGGGGGGGGGGGAATAAAAGCACTAAAATTTGGTTAAAGGAATAGATTTCGGGGAAGGGAGGGTTTGATTCTCCCAAATGTACAGGCCTAGGGTGGAGCAGACACTTTATTTAGAAATTAGGATTAAGGGTCTTGATATTGGGTTTTCTTCTGTTCTTATTCTGATCTGAAATTAGAAAAAATAACTCGCCCAATGGGCGAGAAGTATAGTATCTGTTATGTACTGATTGTTTTTAGTTTACTATGAACAATATTGTCATTTAAGTTCTTATTTTTTGAATATGCAACTATCATTTTTTGCTTATAGACATGGGGGAATTTCTCTTGAAGGCTCTTATAGTGGGCATGAACTATCTTGTTTGCTCGATTGCTTGTTGTATTAAACGGGACAACAAAGGGTGCTATGCCTACATTATGATGAATATTTAGTCCTATAGGTCTTGCTGGATTCAATGTCTCAATCCAATGGGCCTCCCTAGATTGACGGAATTTGTTTTGCATCTACTGGACAAACATGGAGCACTTCTTAAACCTGGAGGTACTTGGGCATAAAGTCTGTTTTTAGCTGCTATCTGTGCTGAGGTGGAATTTTTTATGTTTCGTAAAAATCGTTTAGAGTACCCACGCTCTTTCAGTTTTGAGAAAACAATCGTACAGGCTTGGTTGAAATCAGAAGATCTTGTACAAATTCGATGAAATCGTAAAACTTGTGACTTAATTATACCAGAAAAGGTATGTTTAGGGTGAAAGGAGCTCTTGTGCAAGAGTTGATGAGTATCAGTTTCTTTGAAATACACTTTAATATCCAGTTTATTTGTTTCGGCTATGGAATCTCCAAACAGTAAGCACCTTCTGCCTTCAATGCGACAACAGGCTCTATTGTACACTTTTGAAGCGCATTCTACCTTCGGTTTGACCCTTTGACTTTGTCGTACACTTAGGAAATACTATTCTTGAATTACACCCAATATGCCAAAGACACGACAATATAGTTAAATTGGGTGGAATTGGGAGTGTACTTTCATATAAATGAGTCCACATTTCATTAACCTAGTAAACTAGTAACCTAGTAAGAAGCCATACCCCTTCAAATTTTAGTAATTTTGAGAGTCAAACGTCCCAGACAAGTTCCGCGCGGTGGAGGGCTATTGGGCCATGGTGCTCTCTTCAGGCCAGCGAAAGGTCTTATTTTGAAGTGAAAATTAAGCCCTTTAAATGCCCAAATTTCATCTTAGCCCTTCCGAAAAAAGTCTTTTTTGGGACCTCTGGCAGCCCCCGGCCTCAAGGGGCTCCGGCGTCGGAGAGACAACTCATTATTGGCCCCCCAGACATTTTCTAGATAAGCCCCTGGTTGAATAGTATATTCACGGCTACGTAAACTATCGAGAGTTGTCGAAAATGAATCAGTAACCGTTAAGTATACAATGCGAAATCCATTTTTCGTAATGAATGGTATCGAATGTCCGAGACAACTCCTAACCTTTGACAAAGCACATCCAAAATGGCTGACAATTTAAAAGGAGCAAGAAGTCAAATAGATCAAATTGGTTTGAAATAGAAATATAATCCTTTAAAACCCGTCTTGATTCATCAATTTGACTGAATATAGTTTTATATTCCAAGCGACCTAGGGCAATCCAGCTGTAACAAGGTACGTGGAGTCAGCATGGCAACCAGGAGTTCAGATAGCTAGCTGTTCATCTCAATCAATACAACTAGAAGAAATCTGGTGTCTTCGATTTGCCTTGATGGAGCTGTTCTTGGTTTAACTGTGCCCGTATATGATAATCACTGAAATCACTATTTTTTGTGGTTCCTATTTGTCATGGTTGCTGCTTATCTTTAGCAGCTATGACGGCTGTGGCACCAGGCAGGGTATACTTACTCTTTTAGACACCTGATACCACCTTTTCATAATGAAATACTTCCCGACTTATGATTGATATACTTCCTCGTGTGAAAAGTTAGTTTCGTTTCGTTTGCGGTTCAGATCATGCAGTCGGATCATTGGGGTGGAAAGTTTGGAAAACCTTAGCCTAGTTTGCACAAAATATTTAAAAAAAAAAAAAATTCACACCAGAAGAAGGCATACCAAACGAACCAATCGAATTGTCAATTCCATCATTTAGTCGTCAATTTTAAGGAAAAAATGTCGACCATTTCCGTAATAGAAATCAAATTGCTTTATGTTATTTTCTATCGAATTAACAAAAATCAATTTACCGGAGAAATAGAAATTTTTATGCGTGGTCTTCATTCGCTACAACCACTTAGAGGTTGTAATTGGGCTAAAATTGCTTTTATTTGAATATAATGTGGACTCTCATGGACTGAATTTTGTAACTATTGGTTACACACATTTGTACACCTACAGTGGCGTAGCGAGAATTTCATCGATTTTCTGAGCGCCCCGGGGTCCCTTGGCGGCCTTTTAGAGGGGACTAGCCATGATGGGCTTCACGGGGCCCCTCCCTGGAAAACTGGGAAGCCAGAGAATACCTCGAACCAGATTTTGTAAGTGTAAGTGGAATACAATTTTCATTTTTTATGACCCGACTGAAAAAGGGGGTGGGGGGTGGGCGGCGTATGGCCCAAAAATTACCACCGTAATACTCCACTGTAAACATCAAATTGATTCATGAAGAATAAAAGTTCCTGTTTTCTAAATGATGTAGAAGTAATTTAAATTGAAGCCGTCAAAATATTATTTTATTACATATTATGAATGTCATAAAAATGTCAAAGAGTTATGGAAATATGTCGATTCAAATATAGACTGATTTTTATATGACACTAATTCCAAGGCGAAACAATATTTCCTTCATAAGCCAAGTGATTTTATTACCTTATTTATTTTCTGCTGCTGTCGATCGGGTCTTTGGCAATGAAGTTTTACACACAACAGTTCGTATATTTCACTAAAATGCAACCAACAGAGTTTTTTTTACTCTTTCGTATTGTACGTGACAATTTCAAGCATTTCTTATACTTTAACGAAATTGTCCATCCGTTCTGCGTCGTTTGTGCTGCAGCGTCATACTGATCTACAAACGTTTCTAAAATCCTTCCCATATCATACTATCTACAAAATTTGCACCTTTTACACTAACCAAGCGAATTAGGTTTCGAACTTACTGCTCCGCATCTTTTTGAATCATCGACCTCGTGCACTATTTTTAATAAGCGATTTGCTTCGAACATTGAATGCAAAAACGTACAACATTAATAACAACATTCGTGATGCTATAATGTCCATGTAGTTAAAATTGATCTAAGCAATGTTTTATACAACACACTATTTTTTAGCTCATTTGTCTGCTCGATTAAATTACATTATTATTTATACCAAGTAAGTTTATTCTTACAATCTTGTAAACATAGAGCGTGTGTGTAAAATTAACGAGATTCAAATGAGGCTTTCCAGAAAATTTTATGTGCTCAGAAGACACTGAAAGCTTCCATTTGGAATTCCCACCCGCCATGGTTAGATCACCGTTGTCGTTACATACTTGTGGCTTTCTGTAACTGAAATACAGTATACGTTTACTTCGCTTCTTGTGGTGCAATTTTTTAGAGCGAGACAAAATAAAGATAAAGTGTCGACCAAGGAATTAATCGTTCTGCTTTTGGTCATCGCTATAGCACATGCATGTTGAAATACCTCTTGCATAAGTCTGTTAAAAATAATTTTAAAACAGAACATGAAACATGTTAATCAGAGTTCCACGCTTATTTGGTGTTGTCTGAAGATCGTCCATCGTTAAACTCTGCGTAACAATATGTTCCAGGCTCTGATTTAATATTTCTTTATAGCTCTATAATTGATGTAGTGAAAATATTGTGTTATCGTAATCTAAGACTAATCCATACACGTCAGACAATTGCGTTAATCAAAATATCGTGCAAAACATGGCAAAATCGAGAGTAAAAGTTGTATAGTAGTGTATTGTATTGTATTATTGTAGGTCTGCAAAATATATAAGTTTAGACAAAAGTAAACCCAAAGATCTTTTTTTCGTAATTTCAGTCTTTGGTGATGCGGAATATATAAGCTTGGTCAAGAGGAACTCCAAAGAACTCATTCAATTGCTTTTTTCTCATTTCAGCCTTTGGTGAGACAGACTTCCGTATCGTCCATTCAAGAAGACAATAATGGAAACATTCATTTTAGTTTGGAATACAACAAAGAAACTTCAATATTAACTGTCCATTTAATACAAGCTCAGGACCTCGTCCCTAGAGACTGTAGCAGCACCTTAGATCCGTATTGTAGAGTCTCATTGTTACCGGATCGTCGGGGAGACCTTCAGAGTAAGATTCAACGTAAAACTTTAAATCCGATTTTCGAGGAACCTCTTATGTTTGAGCTAGGAGCTAATAAGCTGCCCTCGACAACGTTGGAAATTCTAGTGTTTGACTATGATCAGTTCTCACAGGATGAGTGTATTGGTCAACTCCATGTGTCTCTAGATACTGTGGATTTCAGTGAAAAAACCATTCTTTGGAAGGGACTAATGCCTCCTGATAAACCGAAAGACGTAAGTAATTGTGTTTCTAACGATCCTGGTCCTAATATAGTGCATTGTAGTTTTCAAAGAAAAAAAAGAGTAGATGTTCAACATGGCTCTTGGCTGGTTATCCCAGCACATTTACAGCTTGCTTGGCTCGAATAATCTGCATAGATCACTATTCCACAATTGAGTCTGACCGGATCATCCCAAATATTACCAATAACCCCAATTAATTCCATTTCCAAAATTTGCCATCTGCAGTTCAGTTAAGAGAATCAATTTGATATGGACCATAGAGATCAACCTTTAAAAAATGGAAAATGTGGGGTGATTCAGTATGCTTTCAAATCCCTTAATTATAGTTCACGACCATCTTTTTTAGAATTAGTTACCTTTTTTGAGAGGTTAAAATGTTGAATTTCTTGTAAATTGACATTTATCTTAAAATGGATAAAATTTGTGGTTTATGAAGGAAGTTAAGTCGTTAAAATACTGATAACGTTATGATGCTACAAAGTATTACCCCAAAAAGCTAAGTCCCAGCCACTAATCAATCGAATATTTTGCGTCACGTCCATATAAATTATATTTTCTAGCATGAAGAAATAGGAGATATTATGTTTTCCATGTCCTACCTACAGAGTGCTGAGAGGTTAACAGTAGCCGTTACCAAAGCTAGAAATTTGAGACATCCTGAAGATGGGAAGTTATCGTTAGGTAAGGTCAAATAATATATTTTCCTATGTTATCGGTGTTCAGAACAAACATATCCTTTGATATACGACTGGCTGCATCGTAACTTTAATTTCGGTTCACGCCTATAAACAAACCAATCTAATGATGCTTGATACTCAAAGTCAACGGATAGACATATATGTTAAGCACATGTTACCGTTCATCATTATCAGTAGACTCTGAATCGATCTTCATAAATAATCAGGATGCATTTTGGTCACATAATAACATTTTTAGTTCGTGGTGGTTAAAAAGCACAACAACACCCGGAAGATATGCATCTTGGTAAAATAAGTCACTACTCTGTCGATTTTGACATCAAAGTTAAAGAAAACGTATTGATTGATGGTTTGTCGAAATGTTCGCTTGGTTAGGAACAGTATATTCTGTCTTCATTCTAATCTAAAACGATTTATACCAAGGTAGCGTACTGTTGATATTCATTTCAACAAATCACAGCGCGCAAAGTAGAGCGATATAGCCAATGAGATTATGAGACTGCAAATACTCACTAGCAAAGGTGATTCTGTTTGATTTTCTGCTACAAATAGCTTGAAACGTCACTAGTACGTGACCTTGGTATAAATCTTGTTAGATTACAATGAAGGCGGACACAAAATAATAAGGGAACGAAATTGTAATCTAACTAGATTGCACTCTGTCCGCCTAATTTCATCTGATGGGTAGACTGCTTGGATAACATGAGAGAAACAAGTTTCATTAAAATGTCACAAGTATATCAAACTGTAGACTTCGCTCTATTACAATTTTACAATTATATATGTATCTAATGTGTCTGCTTTCAGAGTCATAAAAATCTATTTTTATAAAAGTTATCTAACTCCCGGAAGACCAAATTATAAGTCAGACAAAAGAGGGTCGTTTAAATAGAAGCGTAACCAATTTTTTTTATATTCATCTTCAATGTTTCGTTGCCTTTCTATTGAATCTAATGAAATGGGCTTCAAGTTTACTTCTGAAATTTCTGGTGCCTAATCTGACCGAAGACGAAAGACAGCGCCATGAAAAGTGGGATATTTTGTCAGGACAGAGGCATTGGCGCACACCTCTACGAATTCCAAGTGCTGATTGATACGAAACTTACACAGAATTTATGCTCGTGGTTATACGTACTATTTCCAATATAACAACAACATTGGCCATGTTAACCTTCTAATATTGTTGTGGATTTGATAAAAATCAGTAGTAACTGTAAGGGTGCTCCGGAACAGAGAACTCGCCTCTGTCTGAAACCCATCGCGTAATTGTATAGCAAATTGTGTCCATGTACAGCCGTCATTAGAAGATGTCGACAGGAAGTCATACGGAGTCAAATCGAACTGTCAATACTGATGAGGAATCTATTCATTATCAGTCTATCGTTGATTCATTAAAGTCATGTACAATCTTGATAACAACCAGTAACAACACCTGCTATTATCCCTTAGCTTAAAGTCGCAGTGTGTTGGTTCGTCTTCGTTCGTTCTTTTTCGATTTTTCTGAATTTCAATAGGGTTAATGTTTGGGCGATAATAAAAAATTACACCAAGCTTCCTCAAAATACATTAAGAGCTGTCTAGAATGCTTACGATTGAACGCATTTTTAAGGTCAAGGGCTATAACTAATATATATTATATTACATATACATAATGTTATAATATAACATATATATTTGCTGATTTCAATAGGGTTCATTCTCGGGTAATATTTCGAAATTTGTCAAGAATTCTGCCAAGGGCAATTATTCATGAAAAATATTTTTCAATTTTTAATTATTAATAGACTTCATCCTTGGGTGAAAATAAACAATTTCATCACGTTTCGTCAAAATCCGTCAAGAATTGAGTCTTCTAGAGTGTTAAAGAACAATTGTAGACAACCAACGGACCGACATGGTTAACGCCAATATACGCTCAACATTTTCTGTGGGCGTATAAAAATTATATGATAATCCCCCTTTAATTGGAAAGATTTAGATTCGTAATCAGGATCAAATCGCTATTGGCCTGTCCTTGACATTTTATATGATCGCTATCGTGATTAATAACCCTAATTTACAGCACCCAATAGCGAGCGGCCATAAACCAGGTGTCCAGCTAATACTAGTGACAAGTTGTTAAATCAATGTCGGGGGAAACCATAGTGCAAAAGCGGTTAACTGACACGCAATAATTCGAGGGAACAATTTATCGTCATTGTTACTATTGATATTAAAGGGGGCGATCAATTGGTGTGTTCCGCACGATCGGGAACATGGTTCAGAATTCAAGTGTTTATCCATCCATAATTATCCACGTTAGAAAGTTACGTTGACGACTCGTCTTTTGCGAAGTAGGGTGTTCTCTTAATTTTTTACCGTAGATATGCTAAAAAAAAAACATGAAAATTGATCCTGAAATTTGTGTAAAGTGAGGTATATGACGTATAATAGATGGCGTAGATAGCAAATGCCGAGATCCCTTGTCAGATGGAAATTTAAATGTTATTTCTGCTGTCAAGATAAAAAAAAATCTATAATTGCACACTGCATGGCGTTGTCAGTCCTCATTAGCCCAAACAGGGGGACCGGCAAATGTCATTGCAAGGAATCATAATTGATGATGAGTTTTGTAAATTGGATCTCAAAGAAACAACAACAACTCTCCAAATCTTCCTTCCTGGAACAACTTTTTTGGTATTAATATGTTTTTCCAGTGTTATCCAAAGCATCGGATAAAATTGGCGTATTTATATTGGATTATGGTGTTTTAGAATTTCATACGACAGAAATCCATAACAGAACAAACGGAAATATCAGAATTGATTGCAAGGAATAGATGTTTAGAAAAATGAAGACTTGTATTTCATTAACGGTACTTGTTAATTTGACGAACTGGAAATTTTGACATTTATTTTAACATTGGATTATATACTAAGAGAATCGGAATATGGGCGTATTTCTGCTTATTCAAATAGTTTTGATTGCCACTTTAAGTGTTCCATATAAAAATCTTTTGAAAGTAAAACAAGTTTAGCAAGTACTCTTCTGCGCTTGATAGGTCTGCAATTTGACGCAGTGTGCAATTATATTAAAAATATATTGTACGACTATATTTGTGCACACCTTTTTATAACAAAAACACAAGACGATAATATGGAATATGGAATATAACACACTTCTTTAATAAAGTTGGACACATAACGTTTTAACACATTATTCTCTTGCCATCACATCTGATGACGACACGTGTATATATTCCATAATATCGTCTTGTGTTTTTGTTATATGTGCTCCTCGCTTCTACATGTCGTTCAAATCTTACACCTTTTTATGATTCTGAGTTATTATTTTCGGAGAACCAATAGACGTATGGTTTTAAAAATATGATCTAGATTCCAATACGACAGGAACCTCACAAATATTCGTTATCGACAATACGTATCCTCGATAATGATAGAAAAATGGTTTGCACCCCAAATTGTATTGTCACTTTATTAGTGTCCCAAATTATGTGTCAGAATGCACCAAATCAATTCAATGTTTCTAAAATTTGCACAGGGAGAACCTCCGAGGGGCTACTTTAGATATTTGAGACAAGACGTTAGTTGCTGAATTCAGCCTCGACATTTGTTCCCCTCATTAAGTCAGTGTGCGTCTTATTCTTCTCCCAGTCTCGGGAGGCTGGCACGGCCACTGATTGCCGTCAAGTACCATAAGTCGTAAAATTAAGAAACGGGACCCTGGCGTTCGACAATTAACACGAAGTATTGGGTGATTTCTTCTTGAGGTGAACACACTCGACCAAAAGAAAGTAACTACAACCATTTATTTGATGAGTCTTAGCGCTAATCTGTTGATGATTTGTTCGATAAAACAAATTAAAAGTCAACGATGTCAACTGCGTGTTAAGAATAATGGATATTGCTGTCAAAACGAATCGCTCACGGTAGTTAATAAAGAACAAATTGATTGAATATACAGAGGGAATGATGGACGGAAATGTCCTACTAATTAAATGAGTATAATGGAATTTGTTAGATTTGTTATTCCGTTGATGGTCTCCAGTGGCGATCGTAGAGTGACATAGAATTTAAACCCCAGGGAAATGACTTTGATTATTCTTCTTTAAATTACATCTCCTTTTGTACTCTTGTATGATATTAGACCAAAACATCTGGCTCTATTCTAGCTATTTTGACAGTTGTCGGCTGGTGTAGAGACAAAAAAAAGTAGGACCTGTTTTATGGAAATATATTCCATATTCGCCAATAGCTGTCAAAATATTTATCAGCGGCTGGAATTGAGGCAGATGTATCTGACTAGTATGAATTGAAACGAAATGGAATTGCACTCCTTGTGCTTTCCTGCTAATGGAAGGATCAGGATTGATGTTTATTGAGGACAGATCGAACAATTGGTAATAAGGCTAAGTTTTTGTAGCATCTGCCACTTCAAATTGGCACAACCTTCGGGTCAATTATTATTGCAACATCCGAATAGAAATACACATATTTCGTTTCAGAACGTCTGTCCGACCGACCTGTATCACTTACAAAGATAGTTACAAGGTTTTTCAATGTTAAAATAGTGACCAATGCATTAATAAAAAAGCGATATTTCGGATAGTGCTGGACTCCCAAGATATCATGGGTGCATCCACAAAAGTAGATAAAATCGTCAACCATATCGGAGGCCAAAATATGAACAGGTTATAGCATGGTTTTAACGATTAATGAACTAAACTATAAAGTTTTGTTCTGCTCCTTGCTGAGCTAATGCAATCGGGCAACGTCATGCGATAAGGTAATTTATGCAAGGCAGTGTCTCTAGCTTAAGTCTTTTTGGTTTCCAACTATAGAAAATTGACCGTCTACTGCTCCAATCTGAACAACTAATGATCGCAAGCTGTGATTTTTCAGTTGTCGATGCGTAAAAACCATTTCTTTATTGAAAATCCAGTTGGTTGCATATTTTGACAGTTGTTATGTTGATATGATCCTG